GAATATAATATGCGGAATTGTTTATTTATAAGAATTTTTATAAATTTACACCTTTTTAAATCTACCTTCTATCCTCCTCTGTATTAACTGCCTATAATACTTAAATTCAAAATAGAGGAGTTAATTGGAAGAAAACGAAATAAATCAAACTCAAAGCCAGTAAACATTTCAATAAATTTACATTGATTAATTATTAAAATTTAATATAAATTTTCCCATCTAAATGATTTCTTCCCTTTATTTGAAATAAAATAAATAAATTATTAATATTATTCAAATAAAATAATATTTTAAATTTCAACATAAACAGAGATATCTACATATATATCATAAGTAGAATTTTGAGTATAAGACAAAGGAATTATTTATAAATACTTTCATTGTTGATATTATGATGAAGTTAAAAAATCAACTTTTTTACTATCTTGATTTAATCTCTCAAAATCACTCAAATCATTACGTTATTTATTTCATTAATTGGTGAATTATCAGATTAGAAAAAGAATAAAGATTTTATGTGAATATCTCTTTCAAAAAATAATTTATCTCCCTGATCTGATCATATCTCACTATATCAACCAATCTACTTATTAGAAAGTAAATCATTCTAACCTTTTATTAATAAGTTGGCAAATCATATACTACTTTTTTTACAACTTTACCTTTAAAATAAATTATTAAGAGATATTTTTTTTGTACTTATTTAACAATCTGTTGAATTTTGGGTAATCATTTAATTGCTATTCTACTTTTCGACTTATGCTTAATTATATATCTTAATATATAAAACTATGAGTGATCTAATTTTAAAAATTCTAAGTTCTTAATATTTTATCATCTAAAACATTATTTTTATTCAGAGATATTAAGAGTGATGTAGTATTATTTAGTAAATACTTAAATCAGTCAATAATTCCTAAAAACGATTGATCTAAATTTACAATAACAATATTAATTTGCTTTATAATAGCTAATTTAATTTCTTATAAACTATTTCTGTTTGGTTTTAAGAGAATGATGATAAAGTCAGCTTTTGATTTTTGCATACTCAAATATCTGAGAAATGCAAATTGTAACAAGATTAATTAATTTCAGATATAAGAACAAGTTTAAAGAGTTTGAGTTCAAAATTATGAATTTCAAACTGTTCTTAATTATCATCAGATAAGAAAATTGTGCATAACTATTGATCTATCTTATATTTATTTACAGTGCAAGTTTCAGCTTTCAATATGTAAATAATGAATATAAAACTTATGGATTAAAAAGAGTATTTAAGTAACCTAATATCAACTTAATTTCCTTTATATTTTAGAATGAGTTTGTCTAAAGGTGATGAATCAATTATTCTGAATTTAAGAAATCATGGCTTTGCGAATAAATACTAAATTGAATCAGAATATAGAATACTTAATAATTGCTTAGATTACGTCCTAACCATCTAATTTGATAGACTTCCATCTTAACTAATTCACTAATGAATCTGAAAATTGAAATTTAATTCTAGGATTTGGAATTAAATCACTAAAAGTTAAGATAATGAAATGATTTCTACTTTTAATAATATGTATTTTGCAGATGAAAAATCAGTAATAAATACTGCTAGGTATGATAAATCCACGATTTCCAATACGAAATAGAAAATCATTGATCTAAAAACGCTAAAAGTTTGGTTGATGATACAGAAAACTTCACTTATAGTTTTATGCATTTTTAGAAGAAGAGATATCAAAATTTTCTTTTTCATACATTTCCCTAATTTAGAGAAATAGATTTATCATTTTATATTTATGAGCACTAGTCTTACTCAATACTTTTAGTAATTTACATCTACTTTATAAGACACATGCAAACCTACGGAAATCAAAAGGATATTTATGAAAATTTTGGAAGCCTATAGTAAAATTTGTTCATAAATTTGAATCTTGTTATTTTTAAAATTCCTACTTTTAAGATTAAATTTTAATTACTTAAATTTTAAGTTTTCTAAAGCTCTATACTTAAATCATTAACTTATTATGTATCTTATTTTTTAAAAATGTTATATATAACTAAAGGGCACATCTAAATAATTTAATTTAAGCATTTAACTGTGTTATCAATTAATAAAATACATTCTAAGTTCAATATTTATTTATTTTTCATAGGTTACATATCGTTTATAGTATTCAGATAGCCCTGAATTCACTTATTAGTTGATTTAAACTTTAATTATATAGATTAAATTATTAATTGAGTAGTAGGAAATATGTTTTGTTCTTATTTGGATCATAATAAAAGAACCTTTTTAAAATTCATATTTTTTAACAATTCAATCTTAAGCGACTAAATAAAAAGCTTTATATAGTTATTCAAAATCTTAATACAATTGACCTTCATTTTACTTAAGTGATTTTCCTTAACTGATAATATTTAATGATGGCTTAAATCCATTTGGATATTGCTCCATATCTGATGTCTATTATTTAGTGAGTAATTTTGATAATTAATATACATTTTTCTTGTTTCTCTTTTATAAGACAATGCTACATATTAAATTATTTTGATAAATTCTACTAGAATTTTTGACTAATTAATAAATATATATCTGTAATTTGAAACTTTTACAAAATTTGCTAAGATGAATTCTTTTGATTATTACTTAGGAAATTCTTTGTATTTCAATAAAATTCAGTTGTTACACTACTCAAATACTTGAAGAATTTTAAGAAAATCTTAATCAAAAGCTTTCGTTTAGTTCTGATTCACTCTGCTAAAATAATGATTTAGATTTTAACTGAACTTTTTGCAATATATTGTCATTAATTTTACTTCAGAGAATG